CTATGTAGGCTTGTTGGAAAGGAAAAATATTCGGCTTTCATACGGGTGGTCGATGATGTAATTATCTAAAGGGGTTTTCGAGAAATTCACGAGAAACTGTAAAAACTGAAAAAAATACGAAAAAAAACATTCTACTGCTCATAGCAGACGAGTCAACGACAGCACAAAAATGTAGGTAGGCTCATTGGAAAGGTGAGACATTCAGCTTTCATACAAGTCATGGATGATGTAATTATCTTAAGGGGTTGTCGAGAAATCCACGAAAAACTGTTGACATTGAAAAAAAAACTTTGTTTCTCTGTTTTTTCATTTTCTATAGCTCGTAGCAGGCGACTCAATGACAACACAAAGATGTAAGTATACTCGTTGGAAAGGTGAGACATTCAGCTTTCATACGAGTGGTCGATGATGTAATTATCTTAAGGGGTTGTCAAGAAATACACTAAAAACTGTAGACATTGAAAAAAAAACTTTGTTTTTCTGTTTTTTCAATTTCTTTGGCTCATAGGAGCCGACTCGATGACAACACGAAGATGTAAGTAGGCTCGTTGGAAAGGTGAGACATTTAGCTTTCATACGAGTGTTCGATGATGTAAGTATCTTAAGGGGTTGTTAAGAAATACACTAAAAACTGTAGTCATAGCACTTCGTTCGCCCATCAAATCTAAATAACATTAATGGGCTTCAAAAGAGAACATTTTAAATGGTTCCTTCATACATAAGATCAGAAAAATATTAATTGTGATTTTATTTCAAAGTTTGTTTCACAACAAATTGCAACGAATAAAAAAAAAACATAGTTAGAATAAAATAAAGTTACCGAATAAATTCTCTCCCACTGCTGCATTCTCACTGATTTATATTGCGACTTACGGAATGTAATTGCGCAAATACTCCATAATCCGCATGAAATACGACCTGTTTTGTGTTCGTTAAAGTCCAATAAATTGGCGCGGATTTCGTTCGTCTTTCTTCGTCCTTTATTTCTTTACTCTTATTTACTTTCTTCCCTTCTTCGCTATACGTATTACGTATGTCAAAAAACGACCGGAATGGAAGTTTAAAACTTTTCCCAACATTTCTTTTTGCTCTCTTTCCTTTCCCTGTCATAAATTTCAATATACACAAACTTCCGCTTTGGAAAAAACAAACTATTTCGTCCTTGTTTTCATTTATTTCTTTCCATCATAACTTAAGAATTTAAGGGTTTTACAACAAGGAATTGCTGGCAAATTATTACTTAAAGAAAGTTGTGTAAATTGAGAACAAATAAATGTAAATTTTCTCAATGTCTTTGTATAAATTAATAGAAAACAAGTCGTTAATTAGTTAATTGATTGAGGATGAAGACAGCTTCGGGAATTTATTCATCATTTACATGAAGAAAAAAAAACCTTTTCACGTTTAATTTATTGTTGTAATTTTCCCATTTGAATATTCAATGAAACGCTCAGAACAATGCGTGTTTTCCTATGTATGCAATAAATTATTTCTTTATTGAATCGATGAAACGTTTATTCGATCGTTCAATTTCTGGAATTTGTTGAAAACATCTGTGTTTTTTTTTTGATCGTAAGAAGCAGGAAGATTTGTATTGAGCAACAGTTGTGTCGCCGATCGGAAAGAAAGAAAGTGTTTCGAAGTGCATCGTTATTTACTGCGAAATCTCGGAAACGAATTGACAAAACGACAAGAGAGAAGAAAAAAAAAGTACCAGAAGAAGCGATATATTAGAAAGCACGAAAAGGAATTTCACTTTAATGATGATTCCGAGGTGATACGAGGGCAAAAAGGTCGATAGATCAGACCTTACGCAATGCACGCGTTAAGTAACTGTTTGAGTTTGAGTTTCTTGCATCTCCTTAAAATTTAAGTGTTAATTGTTAATTATAATCGTTCTGTAATTATTGTTGATAAATTGCATGCAATTATTTGTTGTTTTTGTCTTGTGTGTGGTTGGAGATGTTCGGATTGTGCGGTTTCGGATGCGGTTTCTCACGTCCCAGACGTTATCCTTTGGGGGCGACGAAATGCCTGCGGGAACGTTCAAGTTTAAGGGCTGAACAATTAACAGTTACCGAAGTAATTATCAATTAACTAATTTTTTTTGCTCTTTTTTTCTCTCTATCGGATCGTAACATAAACTTAATCAGGACGAAATTTGCCATCTCGTATTTCGTGATGATCAATTTCATAAGAGTTATAAAATAGTTGGATAATTGCAATTGTGAGAGTTATAAATTTACAATGAATTGGTGCTAGTTTAGTTGCATATATCACTTAAACTAATTGGATATAAAATTACGTTTTAACGGTACATTATATATCATTGTATTGTATACTTTTTATAAATAATCTTTCGAGAGTTATTTATGATTATTACATAATTTTTTTTTGAAGTTTTAGTGAAGTGAAAAGAAAAATTCAATGAAATGAAAATAATGGAAGTATCATTTGTACTCCAGCTGTTTTCAGGACTCACTTCGTTCGCCCATCAATGAAATTTTCGTAAACGATTTTCAAGAAAACTAAGAATCGTACAACAATTCTAAGACATTCCACGTATTCCCTAACTATTTAGCTTTAATATATATATTTACTTTTTCATATAATTAAAACAATTATATACATATTCACTAAAATATAAAAGTGTATTTTTCCATAAAATTTTTCAATTTCATAAACGATTTAATTAGTAATTTACAAGTTTACATTAATTCCAATATTCTCAATATAATCTTTAAATATTTAATTTAAATAGAATTAGTTTTCTATATAATTCAATTGATTATTGCGATATTTACTAAATTACCAAAGTAATATTATTTTTTTCTTAAAATTTATTTCAAATTTTCGTAAACGATTTTCAAGAAACCAAAGAATCGTACAACAATTCTAAGATATTCCACGTATTCCCTAATTACTTAGTTTTAATATTTATATTTACTTTTCCATATACTTAAAACAATTATATACATATTCACTAAAATATAAAATTGTTTTTTCCATAAAATTTTTCAATTTCATAAACGATTTATTCACTAATTTAAAAGTTTACATTAATTCCAATATTCTCAATATAATCTTTAAATATTTAATTTTAATAAATAGAATTAGTTTTCTATAGAATTCAAGTGATTATAGAAATATTTACTAAATTACCAAAGTAATATTATGTTTTTCTTAAAATTTATTTCAAATTTTCGTAAACGATTTTCAAGAAAACTAAGAATCGTACAACAATTCTAAGACATTCCTCGTATTCCCTAATTATTTAGCTTTAATATCCATATTTACTTTTCCATATACTTAAAACAATTATATACATAATCACTAAAAGATTAAAGTGTTTTTTCCATAAAATTTTTCAATTTCATAAACGATTTATTCACTAATTTAAAAGATTACATTAATTCTAATATTCTCAATATAATCTTTAAATATTTAGTTTTAATAAATAGAATTAGTTTTCTATAGAATTCAAGTGATTATTGAGATATTTACTAAATTACCAAAGTAATATTATTTTTTTCTTAAAATTTATTTCAAATTTTCGTAAACGATTTTCAAGAAAACTAAGAATCGTACAACAATTCTAAGATATTCCACGTATTCCCTAATTACTTAGTTTTAATATCCATATTTACTTTTCCATATACTTAAAACAATTATATACATATTCACTAAAATATAAAAGTGTATTTTTCCATAAAATTTTTCAATTTCATAAACGATTTATTTAGTAATTTACAAGTTTACATTAATTCCAATATTCTCAATATTAGATTTTAGTAAATAGAATTATTTTTTTTATATAATTAAAGCGGTTATTGAGATATTTACGAAATTACAAAAATGAAGTTGTTTTCTTTTCATTCAAAATTATTGCAATTTCAT